GCCCACGTCGGCCTCCCAGAGTGCTAGGATTACAGGCGTGAGCCACCGCACCGGGCCCCAAAATATATTATTTTCTGATACATTAGTATTATAATGACATCCACAATTTTCAAGGGAAAAACATGCAAAGAGAAATTTGTATATTATACTAATAATCATTCTTACCCTCATGCCAAGCACCAAGAACCCAATCTCTTCCATTAATGGGTACTTGCTGACCTGTTGCTGAATCTTCTCAGATGAGGCAAAAGGATCATAGCTTTTTCGCCCTATTTTTACATCCATTATACAGGGCTTATTAAATTTATGGGTCACATCTTCCAGTTTTAGGTATAAATCTGTTATTAAAGAAAAACCTTAATTAGTAATAGGCAAATATATTACTACTCAAATAACTGCCAAGGGAAAACAAAATGTTAGGAAATCCTAAACCACAGAAAAAAGTGAAAATAAGTCTAGTCAACAATTATTATTATTCCACCTAAAAAAAAGACTGACCAACAAATTTATACCAAGTATAAATATCATAGAGAAACACTTGACAGAAATGAATTAAATAATATTCAATCATAAGCAAAAGGTATGAAGTAGATATAACGTTTCCAAGGACATCAAAAAAGCAATGAGATTATTTCAAAGCTGTTCCACAATTAATTCCCTTTTTGAATATAATTTATGCTATCTATGCCTCAGCAGATCTTTTCAGTATTTTAATAATTTTTCAAAATTTATTCTTCATTTAAAATTAGAAATAGGACTAAATTCTTCCCACAAAGTAATACAACAGAAGTAGAGGTTAGGAAAGGGTAAATCAATCCAAATGATGATCACTGCCAAACACATATTCTAGTCTTTCTAGTTTCAAAGAAAAAAACAAATATCTTGCTTTTTAGAACACAGGCAAACCCCAAAAGTTGGTCTATAGATCACTTTGGCAGCCTGCATACATCTTCCCACAGAAAACTCATAGAGATTCAAGTATAATATTATAAAAGCCCCAGTTATCATATACAGCTGACCTTCTTACAGTTTTAGCTTGAAAAGCAAGGGTCCAAGGCCACTGAGGAAAGAAGGAAAGAAATTCTTTCCCCTTCTCCTGGATAAAAGAATCTTCTCAAAGTTTTGAATGAGATCATGATTTTTAAGTTATGAATATAATAAGAAGTATTTCTCTTAAAAATGTCTCCTCAAAGATAGAGACTAGATTACATCCTGCTGTCTATCACCATAACAGATAATGTTAGAGAAGGTGTATATTTATTCTGAACTAAATAAAAGGACACTAAAGGCAAGAGAAGTCTTAACCTCTAATGTCCTTTCTTTGTCCCCATCCCACCAAGACTAGCATAGTTACTAAATTACAACAAAAAAGTCTGTACTTAAGACCTAAATGATAGAAGAAAAATATATTTTTTTTTGTGGGGGAGACACAGTCTTGGCTATGTTGCCCAGGCTACAGCCTAGCTCACAGCAACCTCAAACTCCTGGGCTCAAGCAATCCTCCTGCCTTAGTCTTCCAAGTAACTGGGACTACAGGCATGTGCCACCATGCTGGACTAATTTTTTTTTTTTTCGATTTTTAGTGGAGACGGTGTCTCACTCTTGCTCAGGCTGGTCTCGAACTCCTCAAGCAATCCTCCCATCTGGGCCTCCCAGAGTGCGAGGATTACAGGTGTGAGCCACCGTGCCCAATCAAAAAAATCTTTTTTTAAATAAAAATTTTTTACATTAAAAA